CCCCCCCTCTGTCCCCCCACCCTCTGTCCGTGCCCGATTAAAGGTACCTTGCGGGAATCTGTCAGTTCCTTTCCTTTTTGTTTTTTTTGAAAATGCATGGGAATTTCGCACGCCTTAGCGAGTGCGCTTGGAATTTGGCTCGGCAGTTAGAAGTCCCGGAATTATCGGAATGCCACGCGACCTTCCGCGCGCGAATGTTCTTGGCCTCGACCTTGAAAACTTTGGGAATTCTTGTAGGAATATGGATGGACGGAAGACTTTCTTTCCCGCGCCTATTTTGCGCGCGGATATGGTACTTTCAATTTTTGAATTAGCATAGGATTGGAAAAGACTGCAACTGTCTTGGTGCCCATTCCCCTTTTGCAGATCGGCGCCATGTAAGCAAGCTCCCTCCTCCTTCCTCCCCGCGCTCCTCTCACCGTCCTTCTTCGCGCGCACACACTTTCTCGCCCCCTCCCCCTGTAACTGCTTTTCCCTCCCCTTCTCAGCGCGTGCCCTTTTTTCTCCTTCTTGATCATCTGAATCTTGGACCCGTTTTGTGCTATCCTTCGCGCTCCTCTTCTTCCCGCTCTCAGATCCGCGCTCGAAAACCCAGTCGATCCTCTCTCCCCATCTAGCCAAGGAGAAGCGCCGTGTAAGTTCTTACTGCGCGACGATTCTGATTGGCTGAGGTCGAGTTAGGAGGGATCAACATGGCTTTCGATGGGCGGTCACTCCCGAACTCTCCTATACCCTCCTCTGCCTCACCCTTCGCTTTTCTCCGCGTCTCTCTCTCTTCTCGCAGCTATAAATCCCGCCGGCGCCCCCGCAAAACTCTCTCTCAACTCATCGTCCAGCTTCCGGGAAGTAGTGGCTAGGTGATGTGTATGATGCGAGTCGGAAAGCCCTGACGAGCTGACTGCAGACTGGCTGGCGGTGCGCTAGATTGCCACGACGGACTGTGGGATCCAGGCAAGCCACGACGAGACTAAGTCGGCAGAGTGACGATCGCAGTGGCGGAGGATGATACGCGACGGCCGGGATCGTCGGTGTCAAAATGCGGACAGGTGATCTTAGTTGAGTGGATGACTGGCTCGGGGCCATGTTGGAATTTGGTGGCAGGTGCGCCCACTTGGTTGCGACTCTATTCTTTGGTGTGAATTTGCGGCGGTAAAGCCGGACCTTCTTTTCCTTTCCCTATCTCAGTGTAACTCTTCCCTCCGATCTTGATGTCCCCATCTGCCACTGTCTCATCTCTCCTTCCTCTTCTTCCATGATGTGAATGATTCTACATAACAAGTCCATATTTGGCGCATGATAGAATGGGTATGATGGCTGTGTGATTGGACTGCTCTCTTCCAGAACTCTTCCATTAGTTTCCTGGGTAGTCCCCAGATCTCGGGGTTTGTCTTGTGAACGGTGGATGCGTGTGTATCCAACCTAAAGGATTTCGCCCTCGACCCAACTGTGTAGGGCATCGTATGATTGTCATTTTCGCACCTTCCACAGTGAATGCATGCATGGAAGATGGGAATGAAGGGGTACGAAATCCATCTTGATTAGGACGAGTCGATGGCAGGGCCAATATTGTTGTGATTTGGAAATGCAAGAATGCTTCGATTTGTGATTATCAAAGAAGTGTTGCGAGTACATATGTGATTTCGCCACGCACGATCTGAGCACGAAATGGCGGCCGCGTCTCGCCGCACATGAGCTTTTCTTTCTCCGAACCCTCTGTTTCTCCTTTCTGGCCTTTGTGATTAGATTGCTAAGATTGCATGCATGCGATGAACGGTTAAAATATCCTTGATTGTTTGCCATGTGGACTAACGGGCTCAACCCAACTAGGTGTCAGTCTCCCGTAGCCCCTCTCTGCCCCTTCCCTTATAATGAGGACAAGACGCGAATCTGTGAGGGGGACATACGAGAAGCAGTCACAAAGATCGGTGGTCAATACTACTTCCCTCCCGAAAATCGGTGTTCTGGGTTTGTCGGCGCTGGGTTTGTCATCGTCGATACGCATTTTCCACCGTACTCGCTGCTATTACCATTTAACGAGTTGATCGTCATCCCGTGGTCGGCAGTAGCGCCCCATTGGCCTAACACCTTGTGTAGTGATTGCCAACGACTCGACCACTACCAATCGAACGGGTTCCGCTACCGAACACGGAATGAGGATGAGCACAAGGAAAGGGCCACGCGATTAAGACCGTCCACGTCGGATTCAGAATTGTGCAATGTGCGACGTCGGGAGCTAGTGCGAAAGCGGGATACTAAACATGTGCCCGCTCCCTTCCACTCCAAACGCAGAGCCGTGGCTCGGTGGGAGGTCCGACAATATTTTCTGGATTGAATTTAAACTTCCTCGCGTCACATATCCCCCGCACGCGTCGCCTCAAAACCCGTGTCGCCGCCAATCAGATCTCTCACTTCATCAGACCAACACGGGGGATTTCAGTTCCGTCTGTGTCCCCACACTCAATTTCCCAAAAATCCTTGGCACACCCCATCTTGCTGTTTTCTGGGGCCTCCCTTCTGCACCTTTAGCACTCCGAACGGAAGACAGCGCAGGGCGTGAGGTTCCGCGTCACATACGACATACTTCCAGTTTATGAGACCTTGGAGGCCAAGCCATGTTGATTGATTGATTGATTGATTGAACAGGCTATCTGCTCTTTTGTTTTGTGTTTACCGCCGTGTTCTGGAGATAGATCTCCTCCACTGCTTGCAGCATCAATAGCCGTTCCGCATTTCTGTGTATACCTTATGCACCCTCCGACAATGGGGGGTGCAGATGGTTGGGGAAGGAGGGGGCCTGGGGGGTGCATGGCAACGTTGGGGAGGTTCCCTGATGATCGACTTCCCTTATAGATGGGGGCTTTAGGGGAAAGGATTGTAGATGGGGGTTTAGGGCAAAGGATTGTAGACGGGGGCTTAAAGGAAATGATGGTAGACGGGGGTTTAAGGGAAAGGATTGGAGATTGGGGTTTAGGTGAAAGGATCGCAGCAAGGGGTTTAGGGGAAAGGATTGTAGACGGGGACTTAGGGGAAAGGATGTTAGATTGACGTTTAGGGGAAAGGATCATAGAGAGGGTTTAGGGGAAAGGACTGTAGACTGGGGTTAGGGGAAAGGATGTTGTATGGGGGTGATTGCATGAGGCACTTCCTTAGATGTTGGGCCCTTTGGCCTGCTAGATAGTTTGATGTGTCAACTATGGGATAGCCAGTTGTTGTCAAGTCTGTGGATCTGGTGATTGGCATTTGATGATGCTAAGTAATCAGGGCTTCGTGACGTGATTATAACCTCCCGCTGAGATGATTGTTGTCAGTTTGTGTGTCAGATGATGGGCATATTGGACAATTCTTCTTTCTCTCTTGACCCAGGATTGGCCCTGAATATTTCTTTCTAAGTCGCCATGGGCCAAAGTGGACCCCACCGGAGTGGTGACCAAGGTGATTATCCATTTGTTAGGGGGCTGGGGGGGGGGGAGTCCTTTCTTGAGAACTGTTATGTTGGGCCTTTTGGCCTGCTAGATAGTTTGACGTGTCAACTATGGGATAGCCAATTGTTGTCAAGTCTGTGGATCTGGTGATGAGCATTCAATGATGCTAAGTAATCAGGGCCTTATGACCTGATTATAACCTCCCGCTGAGATGGTTGTTGTAAGTTTGTGTGTCAGATGATGGGCATATTGGACAGTTCTTCTTTCCCTCTTGACCCAGGATTGGCCCTGAATATTTCTATCTAAGTCACCATGCACCAAAGTGGACTTCACCCGAGTGGTGACTAAGGTGATTATCCATTTGTTAGCCTATAGACTTTGTGCTGATCATGTATTAATAGCCCCAAGTTCCGCTGACCAGCAATGCTGTTGCAGGGATAGGTGGGATGGTTGCTCCAAACCATTGTCTTTAGATTTTGCAACTGTTGCTTTAATTACATGAATAACTAAATGCTGTCCACTTCTCCGATGCAAAATTGCAATCTAGAAAACTATAATCTGTTCTGTCGCTAGCATGTTTGCAGCTATCAGTACACCAATCTTCTGCTCCTAAACGAAACAGTACCGACCGCGCGCGGAGCCCTGTTTCTCCTTTTCTTAAACCACCAGCACATGGCCACCTGGGCCGCGGGCTTGACACTTCTCCTTTACTTAAAGGGACAATTGCCAGTAGGCCTCGTCACAGTGCCTCAGGTGTGGTAATGCCTCAGTTGGAAAGTCGCAGAGGTGTTCATGTTTTCACAGAGTTCATTGTCTGGACGTTCAGGTGCGTGCTGGCCCCTGCCAGAGGAGTCCAAGGCAACATGTGCAGGGACACCTGCAATCATCCGTTTGACAAGAACGAGGGCAGAAAGGGAAGCACAATGCATCCAACAAAACCAGAAGCCCTTCAGCCGGCGATCCTTGCTCCCCTGCAGCAATCCAGTGCTGATGTCATTGATGGCAGATGGAAATTTGTGGTCACTGGCAGATTGGCATCAAATGAATGGCCATCAGTGACTTCATCGGCAGGGGGGGGTAATTCCCAGGGCACACCCTACAGACCCCCGACGATCCTTGCTCCTCTGCAGCAATCCAGTGCTGATGTCATCGATGACAGATGGGAATTTGTGGTCACTGGCAGATTGGCATCAAATGAATGGCCATCAGTGACTTCATCGGCAGGAGGGGTAATTGCCAGGGCACACCCTACAGATCCCCGGAAACTAAAACCGGCCATGAACGTCAGTTGAAGAGACCAGGGGGGCCCTTAGCGTGCAGGGCTTAGGTTGGTTTTAGGCTGGGTTTTAGGGTTGTAGACGGTGTTTTGCCCATGTACAGCCCTCATAGGGTGGTCATGTGGTTTCCTAGTCATTGATTCACGGGCAGCAAGCCAGCATTGCCCCTCCAGGAGTCAAAACCGGTCATGGCTTCTCTTCCTGCATAAGATTGCTATTATGGACGCTTGGATGGTGAAATGGCATAATGTCCATCTGCAAGACTGATGGTCAGGAACCAATCAAAGACATAAAGACTGGGTGGACTCCAGCCCAATCGCTTGATGGAGGAACCCACAAAACACATGACCGTCCCTGTTTGCCGGGCTCCTGAGCCTTTTTTCCTCGTACGTGGGTGAGGTGGTCGTGTTGGTTGTTAGCGGTTGTTCTTTTCCTCCACCACTCAGCAGTCTCCGTGCTCGAAGTTGCTGGGTACTTTTGTGAAGCAGCTACCATGTTCTCTGAACGACCGGTTGACCAGGGGGGCGGTCACATGAGGGTTGGTGTTGTTTTATTATGGCTGGCTATACGTGTGAAGAAGGGGCTTCCAGTTGATTTGTGCCTGCACTTGGGTATGTGGTTTTGCAGACAATGAACGAGTTGTTCCCAGCCATATTTTGTCAATATGGGGAATTGGTTGAAACTGCTGCATATAATAATATACTTTTGTGAAGCAGGGTGTCATGTTTGGTTTTGTGAAGCAGGGTGAGATGTTTGATGAAAGACCAGTTAACCTCGGCCCGTAGTATTGATGTACTGGTATTACCTGAATTGCGCTGCAGGTGAAGATAGAACCTCCCTAAGTTCCCCTTTGATTATGCCTCTTTTCTTTGGGTGTGTGTGGTTTTGCAGGCAGCAAACGAGAAGTCGTTTAAGTTGTTACAGGAGTATTTGTCACAAGCGCAATCTGGTTCTCGAACTTTAGCATCGGAATTTAAATTCGAGTTCTATTTGCGTCCTCCGCCTGCGTCTGAGGACGCTGAAGAGGAACATAATAGCTTAGGTGAGAAGCCAGAGGAAAGTGATCTCCAGAGAGTCCTTGTCTCCTTGCCTGGACCAGAGCCATGCTTTTCAGGAGAGATTTCCACCGCAACGAGGCGCTCCTTGAGGCGACTCCTCATTGCCTGTGGAGTGCCCCCTTTTGCTGATCCGGAACTTGAGTGGATTGAAAAATTTGGTGCCTTGTCTGCAACGGTAAGGGACTGGGATAACGACAACGGGAGTGCAAGTCCTTTCGGTACCAGGGCGTGGAGTGGCAGTAGAGCGAGAAGCAGCAGTACTGTTAAGGATGGACAAGTGGGGCTCACAGAGTTTTTCCTGCAGGCAAGTGAAATACAGAGACAGAACGACGTTGTCACAATCACCTCCGAACGCCACTGCATTCTGGTACGTAACGCATTACGTATGGGGCGCGGTGTTGTTGCTTCATTCCGTTATCCCCTATCAGAACAGTCATTTGCTGCAAAGGCTGATGCTCTCCAAAAGCTTGGTCGTGCTCTGGATAAGGCTCCTTCATTGGATCTTGTGGGATGCGCTTTTGTCTTGGGAGATTGCTATGGCATCGATCCAGTGGGTAATATCTGGGTCAATGCAGGCGATGAAGAGGACGAGTGGGCAAAGTGGCTTTCGCACATCGACGTTAACAGGTCGAGGACCAACAAGATGGCACATTTAGCGAGGAAGGGAAAGGAGAGGGATCTGGCTGAAGCCATGCAAGTGGAGATGGTATTTGCGGATAATGCGACTGGGGCATCGCCGGGGTACGAAGACTTTCTGGCACGGATGAGTGCCAGTGCAGGTGTGGTTGGTGCGGTTGGCGGTGGCAGATTTGTCGATCTCCCAGTGCGAGTTGTTCGGTCCTCGGCTGGTCTGCTTCAAAATTCAGGCAATTGGAGGCCAGTCGGTGAAGAGGGGTTTGGTGTCGACTTGTCGATGGGCCTTGTGACAGTGCCTATCAGTGTCGAACTACCCACAATTTATGAGTTCATTGAACAGAGTGGAGGAGAGGCAATGCTTCATCGAAAGCGATACAAGCAAAGCGAGCAATCGTTAAGAGAGTTAGTGTTGCATGTGAGGCAGAAGCTGAGGCTTCGACACCTATCGAGTGATGAGTGTGTTACGCAAGAGGAGTTCTTGCATTGTTGTAATCGACTTCTTCGACACGCTGCAGTTTTACGGCCCCTTCTGGAGGGGCTTTGTTTGCATGTATCTGATAAATACAAGCTTCCCAAAGAGGGGGATGTGCCTCTCGTGCATCTCAAGTGGAGCTTCAGCTTGAGTGATTTATGACCCAATTACCTCTCCTCCTCCCATCTATTGTCTCTCTCCCCCTTCCCCTTTCCTCCCTTCGCGATCGAGTGTCAACTTTGGCTTTGTAGACTGGTAGAGTTTACGTGCGGTTGTTGGCTTGTGAACACTCCGATATGACGAGAGTTCACATGTGGAAAGGTTAGTGTGAAGGACTGGTTGGGCCTCAGTGTGCTGCCCGCCAAATGCGTAAAATGGTGAGTGTCTTTTCAGCTACAAGGTGGAAAGCATGGCAGCGGCGGACAAGTAAACCGGACAAGTCCGGAAACTGGACTACGGAATTCCCGGTTCGATCCGGTCGTCCGGATTTCCGGTATTTTCCGGTTAATCCGGACATGTCTGGACCAACCTGTCCGGGTCCCTGTCCGGATGGGTATATATGTCCGGATTATTAAAAAAAAAGAAAAAAAAAAGGGCAAATCGTGCCAAGTACAAAGTGCTATGCAAAGTTGCAAACACTGAAAACAATGAAAAGCCTGAAAAGGCCTGGGGTAAATGGGGGACGTGGGAAATAGGGAAGTGGGAAAAGTAACCAAGTTTTGGAAACTTGCTGAACATACCTTCTGAAAGTAAAGTCAAAAGTCAGCAAAGACCACATGGATTGCAAACAGCTCAACAAACACCAAACTGGCATGAAGTTATTCCTAAGTCCGAATAACCTTCTATAAAATAGTTTCAACTTTGAACTTTGAGATTTCAGACTTCAAACTTCAAAATTCTGACTACTCCAAAATTCTAAAGAGGACTCTTTCTCTCTCTCTCTCTCTCTCTCTCTCTCTCTCTCTCTCTCTCTCTCTCTCTCTCTCTCACACACACACACACACACACACACACACACACACACACACACACACACACACACACACACACACACACCCCTTTAGGCATTTATCACTGATAGGGCGTTCTTCGTCACTTGTGCCATATTCAGATGTAGTGACATCAGTGCCCTATTCAGATTGTCCCCTATCACGACGCCTCTTTCGTTGAAGACCGTGGTCTTCACCCTCCTCTCCTTCGTGCTCCTCCTCGCTGCCATTGCACTCCTCTTCATCTGCTTGGCTTTTTGTGCCCCGTTCCTCTATAGCAGCCACATTTGAAGCTTCTTCATTCTCAGGGGCCATGTTGGTTTTTTGCATCCTGCCTCTTGGGCGTTTTTCTTGCTCCACAACCTGTGCTGCTGTTGCAGCACCACAAGGATTTGCTCCACCACCTCCACCCCCCTCTCCTTCATTCTCGTCCTCTCTGCCGATGCACTCCTCTGCATCTGATTGGCTTTTGGTGCCCTGTTCCTCTATAGCAGCCACATTTGAAGCTTCTTCATTCTCAGGGGCCACACTGTTTTTTTGTGGCCTGCCTCTTGTGCATTTTTCTTGCTGAACAACCTGCGCTGCTGTTGTTGCACCACGAGGATTTGCTCCACCACCTCCCTTCATATGCTTGCGCATATGCTCCGCTGTTCCCAAGGACCGTGCCTTCTTGCCCGCTTGTCTTTGCGGACGGGAGGCCATATACATGCCTGCCTTCATTAGTTCTCTCCAGTCCTCTTGCCCATTCTCAATGGCATTCAATTCGCATGGCTCACGGCGATGATCAGCTGCCTCGTCACCACCTTCTTCACCCCCTTCATCAGCAGGTGGAGCAGCATCCTCCCCACTGGACTCAATCCGCTTCAATTTGCCGTCAGCGAGCTTTGCCCGCTCAGCTTGCTCCTTCTGCTCTTCCTCGGTTGGCGGGTCATCCCAGTCAATCACATCTTGGCCCATCTCGGGCATCTGATGCAAGGTGTCAAGCAGGTACATATTCCACCTGCAGTACACTAATTTCTGCATTGTTTCGGGGGCCAAGCCGTTACGTAGGCGCGTGTGGATCACCTCGAAGAGACTCCAATTTCTCTCGCAACCCGAGGCAGTTGTTCCCTGGCCAAGAAGGCGAATGGCATGTGGCTGCAAGTACCGTAACTCGGTACACCACCGAAGCCACCATGCTGCAGGGTTCTGCTTCCGTGCCGCTTCCATCACCTTCTCCGTAGAAAACTTCCCAATGTTCTGCACCCAACAATCCACCTCATATTCCACCTGGTCTATCACTTCCTGCGAGCGTCCCCTAAACCACGTATACAACCACGTGTAGAATCCGTCTTGGATCTCTGGGTCGTTTTGTGGCTCGTATGGGCGGTACTCCGGATTCAAGAATAATGTTTGCACAATGCAGCGGTGTGGTCATAGCATTCCATCGGCGCATGACCATTTCCTCGATGTCCTCCCGCTCATCCTTTTTCAATTTTGAATTGGCCGGCAATCTTTCCACCACCTTATCCATCTTCACATACACTTTGCTGACAGTGGGTCCAGTGCCATCCACCACCTTCAGCAGCAGGACACTGTCATAGACAGCGGAGATGACTTTGTTGACGCGCTCCCAAAAGCCCGCTCCATTAAAGACAATCTCCTCCATCTTGTACAATGTGTCGCGCTGCGCCCGAGGTACCACGGTCGGCTTCCAGCGAGCATCATGACTGACCGTGGCAACCAGTGCATTGCGTTGCTTTTTTCGTCGGTCGAGCATATGAAAATCTGTTGCGACCCGTGTTGCAGCAAGTCGCAACAGCTGCCTCCCTCCAGAGTGCACGTAGAAGATGTCATGTACACGCTGGTGGTTCATGAAGACTTCACCAAGTCATTTGCCCTTTCCCACAACCTCATTCACCCAATCTGTCCGCCCAATGTCGTGCAGCATGAGGTCTAGGCAATGCGCTGCGCATGGTACATGAAAGATGGTGGGAAATGTGTCCTCCACCAGCTTGCCTGATCTTGCACACACAGCCACATTGTCCATGATGCCGCCCATGACAGCTTTCTCACTGACCTCCTTGATTGACTCCGACAGAATGTTGAAGTAAGCCTCTGATCCTTTCTCCTTTCCCGGCATGGCGTGGGATTTCCAAAAAACGACACCGGTCGGAAAGGAGACCATCACATTCAAGTGTGGCCGTCCTCTCCGATCAGTCCACCCGTTCAGTTGGAGCATGCAGCCTGTGCGTGCCCATCGTTTTTGTTGCCGCGCTACTCCCTGCGCCACACACGCCTCGCTGAGGTCTAATCTTTTTGTTCGCTGCACATCGTACTTCGCAGGGATGAAGGACTGATCCGCTTTGCAAACCTTTTGCAACATCCACAATAAGTACTTGCGGCGCACCATCGTGAATTAGACTCGATCAAACACCAACCAATCATCAACTGGCCATTGGGCTTCCTCATTCCTTGACATGATTGCCCCACCCTCTTCGAGCGTGGTTTGCCATGCCCGGATGTTGGATGAACGCACGCTGTTTGGCTGCTTTCGGGTATTCGCCTGCGGAGAGGTTGGGCTACTGCACTCATCCTCCTCCCCCACAGCCTGCTCGTCCATGCTCCTCTCGTCTGAACGACATTCGTCAAATTCGTTAACATCCTCATGCGCTTGCTGCTTTTCCAAAACCTGAGCAATAGCCTCAAATTGGCCCAACTCTCTCCTCTCTTTCTCCTCCGCCGACGGTCTACCGCTCACCCTCGCCATGTTACATCTTGGCCCCTTCGTCGTCGACATAAAGTGCTTAGCGCAGCGATTCGCAGTGCCCGGGACCTCATGTTCGCAGTACCCGCACTTCCATCTGTAGTTGCCCTTGTCCGCAGCCCCCACAGGTTCGCCCTGCACAAAGTGCCGCTTAATGGCATCTGCACCTCCTTTAGGCATCCTGTGGACAATGAAAACCGCCCAATCAAACAAGGGGCCTCTGGGGATCAGATCGAATGTCGTTCGAGTCTGCGTCTGACACTTTCCCCCTATCTTTCCGTCTCTCTCTCTCTCCCTCAATCAATCAATCAAGCTGGTCAATCAACCAACCAACCAATCAATCAATCAATCAATCAATCAAAAAATTGATAGCATTTCCCCACCCCTCATGGGTTCAAAATGCATCATAACAGAATTTTCAATCATTACAATTGTAACAGAACTTTGAATAAAAAAATTGACAGCAATTCCCCAACCCCCCCATGGGGTTAAAATGTGAGCTAAAAGAACCGTGGTTGAGATCAACAACACCTATCAATCAATCAATCAATCAATCAATCAATCAATCAATCAATCCTTGTGCTGGATTGATTGATTGATTGATTGATTGATTGATTGATTGGTTGATTGATTGGACTGAATCAATCAATCAATCAATCAACCAACCAACCAACCAACCAACCAACCAATCAATCAACCACAATGAATCAACCAACCAACCAACCAACCAATTAATCAACCACAATCAATCAATCAACCAACCAACCAACCAGCCAACCAATCAATCAACCAATCAAAAGTTGGTTGGTTGATTGATTTGATTGATTGATTCAGTCCAATCAATCAGCCAACCAACCAACCAACCAATCAATCAATCAATCAATCAATCAATCTGTTACGATCCTGGCCAATTTTGAAGTCCACAACCATCAGAAAGTACAATGCTGCCCAAATGCAAAAGAAATAATTGAACTTGAGCTCAACTCCATCCAATTGCAAAATGAAATGAAA